CAGAGGCAGCCCTCAAACAGGTAAGGTCTTAGTTTAGTAGTAAATGTCCCAACATATCCTGTTCTTGTTGGAGTCAATCTGAGACAATTTCTACAGATGCTCAGGTGTCTCCAGCAGGGTATACTCCCAGTTTCTTACTGTGAAGGATAACTTTCTATGTCAGTTTGCCTGGGTTAAGGGATGCCCACATAGCTGGTAGAGCATTATTTCTGAGTGTATCTGTGATGATATCTCTGGAAGAGATTAACATTTGAAACAGCAGATTGAGTAAAGAAGATCACCAATGCAGATGGGCATTATTCAATCCGCAGAGGACCTGAATAGAATAAAAAAGTGGAAGAAGGGCAATTTGCTCTCTCTACTTGCGCTGAGATAGCCATCTTTCCCTGCTCCTGGACATCAGTGCCTCTGGTTCTTGGGCCTTTGGACCCAGACTGAATTACAGCACCAGCTCTCCTGGTTCTGTGCTTGCAGGTGGCAGAATACGGGACTTCTCAACCTCCACAATTGTGTGCTTGACCTTTCCTTCCTTATTTTGAATTATTGAAACAGTTTTAAGTGTTCTAGTTTAATGTATCAATTGTGGTTTTTACTATCTTTCTATAGTTTTTTATGTGGTTGCTCTGAGGATCAGAGTATACATAAGTTTTCACAGTCTACTTATAATCACTGTTTCACCATTTCAAGTGGAATGGTAGAAATCTCACCAGCATACAGTTCCCATTACTCTCCCACAATTCTGTTGTAGTTGTCAACCAGAATCAGTAACATCTTTATACATTGAAGCCTTTATCAGACAATGTTATAATTCTTGCTTCCAACCATCATACATGTTTTAAATGATTCTAGAGGAAACAAATAGTATACAATACTCATCCAGATATTTCCCACTTCTATTGTTCCTCCTTCATCCTGACATTTCAAGTTTCCTTCAGATACTGTTTCCCTTTATCCGAAGAACTTCCTTCAGCAATTCTTGTAGCGCAGGTATGCTTGCAATTAATTAATTTTTCTTCATCTTAATTTCACTTTCATTCCTGAAGTGTATTTTACTGGATATAAAATCCTGGGTTAACAGCTCATTTCTTCACCGCTCAAAATATGTTATTACACTTCCTTCTGGGCCCCATGGTTTATAATGAAAAATCCACTGTCATTTGGATTATAGTTCTCCTTTAAGTGATGTGCTATTTTTCCTCTCTGGATTTTTTCAAGATTTTTTTCTTTGTTTTTAGTTTTTAGATGTCTGCCTATGATGTATCAGGACACGGATTTTTTTCAGGTTTATCCTGTTTGGAATTCACTGAACTTATTGACTCTATAAATTCATGATTTTGACAAATTTGGGAAGTTTTCAGCCATGATTTCTTCAAGTTTTTTTTTTCTTAATATACTACCTTTTTCCTCCTCTCCTTCAGGGACTCCAGCAACATGAATGTTAGACTCTGTGTATTCTCCCACAGGTCTATGAGGCTCTGCTAACTTCCCCCCCCCCAATATTTTGTCTCTGTTGTTCTGATTGCATCATGTCTATTGATCCATCTTTAAGTTAACTAACACTTTCCTTTGTCATTCTTATTCTGTTGTTGAACTTACCTAGTGAATTTTTATTTTTGTTATTGTATTTTCCATTTCTATATAGCACATTAGAAGAACAAACAGAACAGCTAGTAGGAGGAGATGTGATTGGAGAAGTAAGCTCAAACAACAAGTTTATACTGTATAGCACAGGGAACCATATTCAATATCTTGTAGTAACTTATGGTGAAAAAGAATATTAAAGTGAATATATGTATGTTCCTATGTGACTGAAGTATTGTGCTGTACACCAGATATTGACACAACATTGTAAACTGACTATACTTCAATAAAAAAATATTAAAAAAAAAAAGTAATCCCAGAACTGACCACATAGAGTCTTGCAGGTAATAGTAAAGAGTCTAGATCTTACACAGAGGACAGAAGAAGATCATTAGGGCTTTTAAGGAAATGAGTAGAATAATAATGCAAAAATTTTAAAGACCAGCTTAGTACTGTTGGAGAATGTATTGACAGAGGGCAAGAGTGGAACAGACAGATCTGTTAGGAAGTATTATTTTGGTCCAGGGAATACTGCAGTAGTTTGAACTGGGCAACCACACAGAGCCGAGAACCTCCAGCTGGCCATGGACTTTACCCAGAGGAGCCTGAGCCTCAAGGGGAATGCTCTCCAAGGAAACAGCTTCTGACTTCTGTCACCATGGCAACTGTGCTTCATTTGCCCAGAATGGTTGCTGGGGTGACACATCAGCACTGAGTGACTGATCACCACAATAAGAACTGGTTACCATGGTATAAAGTCTGCAAACAAGAAGCTGCCATTCTTCTCCAGGTTAGAGTTCTTGACTAGCTATAAATCTAAGAGAAAATCAGGAGCTGGAGAGAAGATCAGGGCCAGAGAGCCAAGGGGAGGCCAGCTGTGGGGCAGTTGCTGAGTCATTTTGCCTCAGGACTTGCCCAAATCAAGACAGCTATTAGAGGGGAAAGGGGAGTTTACATTGTAGAGAGGGAGTACTCCAGCACATATACACACAAATTACAAATTCCACATTTCCTTCCATTTTAGGGCTTCTTTGAACTGTTTCCTTCTCCAAGCAAAACTTTGTAGCTGACTGAAGCATCGCTATCCTCCACCCACTGCACTGCCATTTAGAGGGGCAGGTCTAAGACAACTTGCTTCCGAATTTTTAAAGTGGGTTTTGGTCAAAATCCTTCTTGTGGGCTTGTCTGATGGCAGGAAATGTGGGCCCTAATAATTAAAACACAAAAAAGTAATGCTTAGAGGGAAAATATAGATTTACTTGCGTTTATTGTAAAGAAAAAAAAATTGAGTCAATGATCTAAGCTACTAACTCAAGAAGCTAGAAAAAGATAAGCAAAACTCAAAGAAAATAGAAGGAGATAATAGTAAAGAATGGACATCAAAAAAATGGGTAAACAATAGAGAAAAACCAATAAAACCAAAAGTCAGTTCTTTAAAAAGATCAATAGCATTTGTAAATCGCTAGCTACACTGATGAAGAAAAAGAGAGGAAAAATATGAAGTATCAAAATCACGAATTTAAAAAGTGAAATCACTTCAAATTTCTACAGCCATTAAAATGATAAATATTATGAATATCTTTATGCTAACAAATGTGATAACTTAAATGTTAGAGACAAATTTCTTGAAAAATTCAAGTTTCCAAAACAGACATGAAAAGAAATAGAACAACTGAATAGCTAAAGAGATTGAAATTGTAATAAAACTTTCTCACAAAGAAACTCCAGGCCCAAAGAGGTGAGACGTATAGCTCAGTGGTAGAGCCCATGCTTGGCATGCATGAGGTCTTGGATTCAATCCCCAGTGCCTCCATTAATGGGGGGAAAAAAGAATCTCCAGGCCCATACACTCAAACAAGTAATATCAATCATACAGAAACTCTTTCAGAACATAACAAAAGAGGAATGCTTTCTGACTGATTTTATGAGGTCAGGATAATCAAACATTTGGAAGAAAGCATAGGAGAAAAATCTTTGTGAATTTGGGATAGGTAAACATTTCTAAGAACACAGAAAGCATTAGTGATAAAAAATAAAATCAATAAATTGGACTTCCTCAAAATTAAAATACTTTGCTCTTCAAAAACACTATTAAGAAAATTAAAATTAAGTGCTCAGAATTGGGGAAAATATCCATAAAGCATTAACCTGTTAAAGAAGTTGTAACCAGAAGTACTAGAGAATTATGTCAATTATGGAATAGTAAATATTTTTAAACAATTGTGTTCATTTTCAATTGCTGCTGTAACAAATCACCTCAAATCTAGTGGCTTGAACAACACAAATTTGTTATCTTACAGTTCTGAAAGTCATAAGCCTAAAATCAATATCAAAATGTCAGCAGGGCTGTGCTCCTTCTAGGGGCTTAAAGGGAGAATATATTTCCTTGTCTTTTTCAGCTTCTAGAGGTTGTTTGCATTCCCTGGCTTGAGGCCCCTTTCTCGTACCACTCCAACCTCTTGCTTCCAATATTATAACTCTGACTACTGATTGTGACCCCTCTACTTCTCTTTTCTAAAGACTTTGTGATTATATTGGGCATACCAGAAAATCCAAGAAACTCCCCATCTGAAGTGAACCACATTCTAAGTTTAATCACACCTGCAAAATCCCTTTTACCATGTGAAGTAACATATTCACAGGTTCTAGAGATTTGAATGTGGACATCTGTGGGAGCCGTTATTCAGCCTAAAACAGATATCATAATGCTATTGTGATTATGCAGAAAATTCATTCATTCTAAAAGATGTATATTGAATTTTTTAGGTGTGAAATGTCATGATGTCTGTAAATTACTTTCAAATACTTCAGCAAGAAAAAGAAGCAATTGTGACAAAATCTTATTAATTGTTAAATCTGAGTGGTAAATATATTAATGTTCATTTGAGTCTTCTCTCTTTTTATATTTGAAAATGTTCATAATAAAATTTTAAGCTTAATAAAAAAAAGATTGAAATGTCAGTCTAGAGTTTAGGAATCCTGTAACGAAATTACAGTGGAAGCAAGGGATCAGTTAGTTAGCTAGTTATTACAATAGCTCTGTTAAAAAGAGTACAGTGGTTTGATCCCAGGCTATGGCAGTGGATGTGGAGAAGTAGATGGATGTGCTTATTCTTAGCAGGTCAAACCCATGATTGCTGAAGGGTTTTAGATGGGTGAGGGCAAAGTTAGCATCAAGATAATAAAAATAGACTAGATTCATTGAGTGCCGGCTACCCAGTTGCTGTTCATTTTTAATCCTCACAGCAAACCTATGAGTTAGGTACAAATCGCACCTGCGTTTCACATGCAGTCCATTTCTCCAACCTTGGGACTGGGAGTAGAGGCAGTAGTCCTTGGCATACGATTTATGTAAAAAAGGAGTGGGTTCCTGGGGATGGGGTGTGGTGGGATGGTTGTGGGGGCGGTAGGGGAAGTAGGGGCTGAATAGGAGTCCGCAGGGGCAGGGCCCGCCAGTGATTGGCCCAGATGCCAAGGGAGGGTTGTGCAGATCCCGTTTCGCTAGCGGGTGGGAAGCCACAGCCCCGCTCAGTCCCTCAGGCAGCTGTCCCTACCTTCTCTGCGACTTAGGTGGGGAGCCAGCGCGCCAAGCCCAGGAGGATGCAGCGCCTGCTGTGGCCTGGGGGCTCCCGGGGGCTCTGGCTGCTCCTCTGTTTCCTGCTTCTGAACAGCCGCCCAGGGGGCTGCAGCGACATTGGTGGCCACGGTCAGGAGGAAACCTGGGGGGTGCGGGCAAGGCTAGAGAGCGATTCTGAGCGAAGCACGCTGGGATGGGGGAGCTCAAGGTTTGGAACTTAAGAGGAAAGTAATGTGTTTAGGGGTGAAAATAGATGAATGTAGAGAGCATCTCGCCCAAAGAGGCGCAGGCTTGGAGTGGGGCTCGGCATAGGGGCTCTGCGACTCAGAGGACTCAGGGAAGCCCACTCAGGGGAAGACTGGGGATTTGGGAAGAGGACGGGGAAACATGCATTGGGGGAAGTAAAACTGGCCTGTGAGGCCGCAAGAAAAGCAAGACGAGCCAAGGGGCCAGGGAAAAGATGCCTATGGCTGAGGGGTAGGCAGGGGACTAGAATCTCTAGACTGCAGGAGCAGGGACCGCGGGTTATCGGAGTCCTGGCTCCGAAGAGAAGGCTGGGCCGAGGGATGAGCCAAGGCTTCTTTATAAGCCCCCCAGAGCCTGGTGTCAGCGATCCAATTTCTGCTAAGAAGTGGAAGGCTAGGCCGGGGTAGAAGAGGATGGAGAGAGAAACAGTCCATCCTTTTTCCATCCCCTTCACTCTGAGCCAGCCAGGTAGACCATCGCTGACTCATGTCTGAGCTGCCAGAGACCGACTGCGCAGACTCAGGGATTCCAGCGCCTGGCGCGTGGGGCAGACGGCGCAAACTCAGAGCCTAACGCCAACTTTCCTCCCCCGATCTGTGGGGTTTAGATGCCAATGCAGAGGACTCCCGAAGAACTGTGGGAGGAGGCCTGATGTCAAGCGACAGGAAGCAAGGCGTGGGGAGCGGGTGGGGGTTGGTTGTGAGGACGATCAAGCCTTGTGGGAATGCCCAGCTCTCTTCACCGCTCAAAGTCGCCCCCATGTCAGGCTTTGGCCATCACTCAGCACCGCGGACAGCGCCAGGAGCCCTGTGGGTCTGACCCAGGGTGTCCAGTTCACTGCTTTTCCTATCCGTTCTGGGAGTGCTGCCTCAGAGAACAATCTCTCCTTCCAGAAGCTCTTTTCCTTCTCAACAGGGTGCTGGAGGTTCTGGTCCTTCCTAAAGCCAGGAAATTAATATTAGGATCCATTTGACTGGGGAGAATTCGCAGTCCATAATGACTTGTGGTAATTCCACTATAGGGAAAACAAACAAACAAACAGACTCCAGTCCTACCCACCTACCTGGAATAAGGAAAGTGTGTATAGCATTAGGGATTATCTCCATCTCCTTTCCTTCCCTTATGCAGTCTGCCAAACTGTGGCTTTCAGAACAAGGATCCAGACACTCAAACCCTATACATACCATACTTTTTTTCCTTTAAGGATTCCAGGCCTCCTCTGTAATCCCCTCCAGGCTTCAAAGACTTCCCTGAATGCAATTTGCCTGTTTTCCATGCCCTGCCTGTTCACCTGATTATCCATTTCATGTGTGTAGCTTTCTGAGTCTCTGCTTATCTTAACCTCCACAGGATGCTCTTTGCCTGTAAGCTTGGTTCTTATTGGAAGTTGGTGCCAAAGATGAATGAGATTCAGGGGCTGAAGAACAGGGAGAGTGGTGATGGGGAGGGAAATATGAAAAGAAGGAGGACTTGAAATTAGGAGGGGGTCTGATGAGGGGGACAGAGACCAGTGAACCCAGGGATGTTAGTGGGAGGAAGCTGCTTTCCTTCAACTGGGATTTGTAAGTCTTCTGGCCAGGCTCCTTTCTCACACCACTATTTTGCTCTTAGATGGTCAGAGCCAAGTGGGAGTGGGGCAGCTCTGGTCCCTCCAAGGATTTACTACCCCAGTCTTCCAGCGCTTGCAAGTTTTCTTCCAGCAGATTGTGCCTCAAGGTGAGTAAAAGGTGAAGAGAGTCTGGGACCTGGTCAGATACAAGGGTAGGTAATAATGAGGGGCTTTTTATCTGAGAACAGGTTTTCTTCCCCAGATATCTCTTCTTGAAACTTTTCTGTCATGCTTACCTCCTGGAGGACCAGGTGGGACCAGAGTAAGTGTGGAGCTGGAAGGACAGGCTGTTTGCACTTGAACATCCTGGAAGAACCCAGTAGAGGCTTCTAGAAGAAGCCCTTGGAAGATGTCAGCATCCAACTCCTTGAGACTAGCCCCAACCCCAACCACAGGCACTATCTGAGATTTTACAGAGACAGGAATCCTTAAATTCTCAGCCAGAACACACACACACACACACACACACACACACACACACACACACTTCAGCTTCTGAGTAGGAAGCAGAGCAGATTATAGGACAAATAGAAGGGAGGGATGAAGGGAGTGAGGAGCCTCTTGAAGACAAATGGCCAACCCTTCCTTATAGCAGAGTTGCATGAATGAGAGAAGAGTCAGATAGGAAATGCAGCTTGAGTTCATTGTACTACTACCACTACGAATGTCTATCATGTTTATAATGCCTTAGAGCAGCGGTTCTCAAAGTGCATCCCTGGACCAGTAGCAGCATCACCAGGAGACTTGTTAGAAATGCTAATTCTTGAGCGTCATCTCAGACCTCTTGAATCAGAAACTCTAGGAGTGAGGAACAACAATCTGTGTTTTAACAAGCTTTTTGGGAGATTCTGATGCACCCTAAAGTTTGGAAATCACTGTCTTAGTTTTCTCAGCAATTTTTATATCCCTAATCTCATTTAATCCTCACAATAGCATCAAATGAATCAGCAAAAAGAGTATAGTCTTAATCCTAACTGAACATTTATTACATGCCAGGAACTGTGCTATGCAACTTTTATATGTCATCTCATTTAATTCTCTCCACAAATTGTGATCTTTTATCTACCTGAGGGAGAGGGGGAGTGTTGATCTCACTCTGGTCCCTGGAGTGGGCCAGTTAGAACATCCCCGGTGTTAATTCACCACATCTTTTCACCCTGCAGGTTTGTTCTGGAAGGATGACATGACCCAGAATGTGATGACCCAGAAGATGGGACACATTAGCAAACTCCATCCCCAGGATCCATGTGTGAGGGTTGGACAGGCAGCCTTTCCCACCAGAACCACTGGGATGAGGTATGTGAGGCCTATGGTCAGTCCATGCTGTCTGACTGACAGACAGAGCAAGGAGGGAGCAGGCATTAATGCAGGTAAGAGCTGCCAGGAGCACTATGAGAATGATTCAGAGGTCCTGTCTGTGATCTGCAGGAAACAGTTCCATGAGCCATTAGTAATGTCTGCAAAGGGAGAGGAGGCGGGTGCTAACAAGCCTAGGTCCCATTTATCATCCCCATGTCTTTTAGGGGCAAGCAAGAGGAGAAACTTCGACTCTTATTCCCCAAGGTGAGACCCATGTGTCTTCTCAAGACATGAATCCTGACTTTGGGTCCCATCTCTTTCCCTCAGGGGCTCTGCCACCTTTTTCTGTCTCCTTCTTGATTCCTGTCTTCCTTCTTCACAGAGCCCAATGGCCAAGGTGAACAAGGATCAGTGCTTTACCTCCAGAGTGGTTTCAAAGGCCTTGAAACAAGAGGTGGCCAACCCTGTCAAGGTGAGGGCTCACTTTTTCTTGGGAGGCTAGAATCACCAAAGACTTCTTTAAATGAGGGAGGCAGGTGTGAAGGAGGGAATGGGCATTGGGATGTGAACAAAAAAGCTGAAGAAAATATCTTTCCCAATTGAATGGTACCCAGATTTTCCTGTCTCTCAGACCACCTTTGGGTGTCCAAATAAGAGGTTGAGGGGCATGATGCAGGTGCTGAGAGCCTCTAAGGGTGAAATGATCTATAGTATCATGAAAAACAATTGAGTTTAAAATAGGCATGCAAAATTGAAGGGTTTCACAATTAAGTAAAAGGTCCCTCTTTTCTCCATACACTCCTCTGTATATAGCAAGTGATAGTGAAGTTACTTTGGATGAATGGAAGAGGTAGCCCAGAGGCCTTTGCATTCAGCACCTCCCTGCCTTGCTCTACTCTGTGGCCTGAGTGAGCATCCCAAGGTTCTGCATTATCTCTTTGGGATGCTTGAACACTTCAGAATTCGACTGAAAACACTCATATAGCCCTCCCATCTATCTTTATAGATAAGACATTGGGGCCCAGGCTGGTCAAGCAGCTTACTCAAGGCTTCATAGCAGGTTCATGGCAGAGCAAAGACTGGACCCAGGTGTCCTGATTCTCAGCCCTTTCCCCTGCAAAGCCTCTACCCTTCCTCTCAGGGACTGCAGCAGGGGTTGGGCTGTCCCACATACCAGACTCTTCAACATGGACAAGTCTTTTTTTGGACTAAGGCCTAAATTACAAGAAGGTGCCAGCCAGAGGACAATATAAAGGAAGGGCATCCAAGGCAGAGAGCACCATACTGACAAATGCCCTGAGACAAAGATCCATAGTATGTCTGAGGGACAGATGGAAAAGTCAGTGGTAGAGAATTAGGTTAGAGAATGTAGGACTGGGGTTGACCACACAAGGACTCATAGATCATGGTGGAAGGTTTGGATTTTATTCCAAGTGTGGTGGCAAGTCGATGGGGAAATTTTAAGGAAAGGGATATCATAATGTGATATGATTTGAAAAGACCACTCTAGTGATATTGGGGGATGGATTGTGAGAAAACTAAGAGTGAAAACTAAGAGGCCTATAAGGAGCTGATCATCCTGGTACAAGGGAGACTGAGGTGGCTTGGACTGGAATGGTGGCAGTGGAGTCGGCACCTCCAGCTGGCCGTGCACTCCATCCAGAGGCATCCTGCTTCTCTGGGGCTTCCAGCCCCTTATGCTCTCCTAGGAAACCTGTTCTCACTCCCATAAGATGGCAGCTGGGCTTCCTAAGCCTGGATCGGCTGCTGGGTCGGAGCACACAGAGCTAAGTGAAGACCACCTTTGGGAGACTTGTTGGTGTGGTGCTTTCAAGAAAACAAACAAGATACTGCCATGCTTCTCCAGCCTGAGCCCAAGGGAAAATCACAGGATGAGAACCCTATGAATTCCATGTGGGAGCAAGGGGACAAGCACTCAATCGATGGACTGAGTTACTGTGGGCTTACTTAAATCAGGCTGTTACTGAAGCATTTTGGAACGAGTAGGTGAGGGAGGGGCCACCTTCCCACATACTGATTCCAATCCTTTGTTTCTTGTTTTAGGGCTTCTTTGAGTCACCCTCCACTGTAGGCCACAACCTTGTCGCTGACTGAGACCTCGTGCAAGCCTCTCTGCCCCAGTGCCCTCCCCATTGCCCTCCAGGGAGGTAGTTCCAGGATGAATCTCCAACATTAAAGTGGCTTTCATGCAAACTCTCTGTGACTTGCCCTGAGGCAGGATGGGTGGGGTTTGGACCTGGCTAGAGTCCTCTAAGTGAGAGAGGCAGGACCTGAACAGGGGGTGGGGTGAGAAGAACACAGCGCCTTGGTATTGCTCAAAGGCTGCTTTCTGTCCTGTTTTCCTTCCTGAAGTAGGGAAAGTGAGGGTGGGACCATAGCTAGAAAGGCTAGCCTTCTCTGCCCACATCTGATGATGCTCTATGATCCAGTTGCCCACCCATCCTTCCATGTCAGACTTGCTTGGATGGTGCTGTTCTATGAGGGTCTCCACCTCCAGCATTACAGCCCCTGCCAAGGCTCTCCCATTCTTTGTGCTTCCAAGAATCAACATAAAAGTGCTGTAATCAAAGTGTACGCACATTAAATGTTTTGCTGACTCTTGCTAGTTTGCTCCTGGTAGCTTAAAATTTTTAAAAGGAGTGAGTAATCTGATCACTTGTGATCAGCCAAATACCAGAATGTCCTATCCGCAGAGCTTTATACTTCCCAAGACACTCTCATACTCATTGGACATTCACAGGTACATGAAAATGGGCAAATATCTAGATTTTGTTTCTCTAAGAAATTGGGACTTGGCCACACACCACATCCATTTAAACAACCCAGAGAAATTAAGTGACTAGTTCTTGATGGCACAGATTCTTTGTCATGCTGCTGTTCTTGCCCTCTCTACTTATCAACTATGTCAAAATGCATAAGGCAAAAACTGATAGAACTGACAGGAGAAATAGAAAAATTCACCTTTATAATTAGAGACTTCAGCACTCCTCTGTCAGTAATTGACAGATCAAGCAGACAGAAGATCAGAAAGGATATAGATGACCTCAACAGAACAATCATTCAATCTGATCTAATTGATGGTTAGAATATACCATCCAACAACAGCAGAATGCAAATTCTTCTCAAGCTCACATGGAACATTCATCAAGATAGACCATCATAAAACACACCCCAACAAATTTAAAAGAAGAGAAATCACACAGAATACATTCTTAGACCATAATGAAGTTAAACTAGAAATCAATAACAGAAAGATAGCTGGAAAAATCCCCAAATATATGGAAAACAACACCTTTCTAAATAACCCATGGGCCAAAGAAGAAATTGCAAGAGAAATTTTAAAATATTTTGAAGTAAACAAAAATGAAAATACAATTTGTGGCATGCAGTGAAAGCAGTGCTTTGAAGAAAATTTATAGCAATGAATGCATACATTATAAAGTAAGAATGACCTAAAATCAATACACTAAGTTCACACTTTAGGAAACTAGAGAAAGAAGAGCAATTTAAGCTTAAAGGCAGCAGAAGAAAATAAACAATAAAAATTAGAGCAGAAATCAGTAAAATTGAAAATAGGAAAAGATAGAAATTAATAAAACTCAAAATTGGTTCTTTGAAAAGAAAAAGAATTAATAGAAATTCTAAAACTTAAAAATGTGAGAACCAAAAATTTAGTTGAATAGGTTTAATAGCAGATTAGAGACAGCTGAAATAGAATTGGTGTACCAGAAGACAGGTCAGAAGAAATTTAGCCTTTCCCTCCAAAAAACACAAAGAGGCAAAGGATGGAAAATAAAGGGAAAAGGGTAAGAAACCAAGAGGATATAGTGAGTAGAGTCACCATTTATTTAATTGGCATCCTAGAAAGAAGAGAGAGAATAGGGCATAAGCAGTATTTAAAGAGATTGTAGCCAGAAAATTTCCAAAACTGTTGAAAGATATCAATGAACAGATTCAAGACTACCAAGTCTCAAGCAAAATACTAAAAGACAAAAAACTAAAACTAAAACTAACAGAAAACTGACATTTCAGGAAAACAAAGCCAAAGAGAAAAATCTTATAAGCAGCTGTGAATGTGTGGAGAAGATTATTTTCAAGGGAGCAACATTTAGCCTCATAATTAACTCCACAACAGCAACAAAAGAAGCCAGAAGATAGAGAAATAACATTTTAAATGTGTTGAAAGAAAGTAACTGTCATTCTAGAATTCTGTAACTGACAATTACCCTTCAAAATGAAAGAGTTCCACATCTGCTTGGGATGTAGGAAGCCCAAAAGATAAACACTCCCATTCTAACAACAAGAAAATAGCTGGTTCAACTACAGAATCACAACTTTTCTTGAGTGCATCAGAGAGCTGAGGTCACAGAGAGCTGATTTCTTTCAGGGCAGATGTAGATAGAAACTTTCAGGTTCCTTATAAGAAATTTGAGCTGGAAATTTAAGCCCTGAGCTAATAATTTTTTTGTCAAGTCTCCAGAACATGTAGAAGCAACCAACCCACACCACAACACTCCTTATTTCCCTAAAATATTCTACAGCAATAAACTTTTGGTCATCTAAAGTCTTGTCTTCTATAGGCACTTGATTATAAGTATCTACAGGCAATAATGTGAGGAATTATCTTGCCACTGCATGTCATGGACTGCCAATATCCCCTCTACCACTGGAAACAGTCATTAATGCTTTTATATCTAATAGAGCAGAAAACCAATAACAGAAAACCATCAGAGAACACATCCTTAAGATTCTGTTTCTTTGGAATCACTATCAGTACCAAATTCTTATCAGTCAGGGTTCAATCAGAGAAGCAGATTCACTAGGGATTGTAGCAGCTGTGTTTAAAGTAACTTTTTTCCCCCTCTCATTTCTTTTCCCTGCTACTTTATATCAGGAGCACTGATATTGACAATGCTTTAGATTTCATATGAGAGTATGTCTGAATTAAGGGATGTGTGCATCACTTGTCATAAGGGTACAAAGTTTTCATTCAAACAAAACACAAGGATGGAAGCTAGAATTAAGGTAGATGGTCACCATTTTCCCACCCATATTTATGTTGCATCATTCTTCATCCTGCTCTATGTCTCCAAGTTGATGTCTTTGGATTGCATAAACCAGAGGACTTTGCTCACTGACTTCCGGTTAAGTTTAGACAATAGTAGGTATTTGCAAGAGTTTAGAGGCCAAAAAAGGAGAGAGGCCAAGATGAGTATTCCTCTGGCTCCCTCCCTAACAGCTGTGACTTCACAAAGGTCTATATTCCTTTACCTGTCCACACCTTTATAAATAGTTACTTTGTTAAACTCTTCTTATTTACTCGGATTGGCCATCTGTTTCAGGCCAAGTTCAAGACAATAGACTGTACACAGATCAACAAAAAGTAAACTGGAATATAGGTCAAAAGATAAGGTAGAATCATAGAAGGTACCACAAGAAAGTTTAACACAAATTTACTTGGAATCCCAGAAAGAAAGGAACAAGTAAATGGGACAGAGTCAATATTTAGAGATAATGTCTGAGAATGTTTCAAAACTGATGAAAGGCATGAGCCCATGTAGTCAAGAAGCCCTTTGAATATCAAAGAGAATAAATAAAAAGAAATTCTCCCCTAGTCACAGCCTAGTGAAACTGTGGATAAAGGCAAGTTATCTACAAAGGAATAACAATTATACTGACAGATAATCTCTCAAAAAATAAAAAATAAAAAGGAGGGAGAAGGGGATCAGATGAGCAATAACTTAAGTTTGCCCCTATATTCTACTCTCCACCAATTTTTACCCAGTTTTCTGTCCCAAGAGGCTGACCTGTGTGGACTACTTCAATGAGTTCCCTGTTCCTCTGGATTCTGGATGGTTTAGGACAAAGGTAATACTTAGAAGCAGATCAGAGGGAGGGAATGAGGAGAATGAAGAGAGACTATCTATTTCCACAGCTTCTTCCCTGTGAGAAGGTACAGGCTGTCTGCCTCCCCTGGCACATATGTGCAACAGGAAACATGTACAAGAGTATATATGTATATATTTATATACGTGTGTGTGTGTATATATACGTATACATATACATATATATATGTGTGTATATATATATACAATCACACCATTCATGATAACCCAAGACTGGAGATAATCTAAAATCAATGTTTATTAGTTTTTCTTTACAGTTTTATAACCTATGCATGCATCCTTAGGTTATAAAATCATAAAGAAAAGCAAGGAAACATTGTCAAGTAGAGAATGGATAATGGTTACCTTTGGGAAGAGGTTATGACTAGGGGACAAAATAATGCTTCCAGGATGTTAGAAATGTTCAATTTCTGGACCTGGGTTACATGGGTGTTCATTTGGTGATAATTTATTGAGCTATTCATTTTTGTTTTATGCATTTTCTGCTTTTCATATTACACAATTTACAAAGTTTTAAAAAAGGAAATAAATAGGGTGAAGTGATAAAGATGGCAGGGAGAATTGTGGAAGGTGCAGAGACGACTTTCCTGAGTACGCCTTATTATATAGGTTTGACTTTTGAACAACATTTTACATATTCAAGAAATAGAAGTATATAAAAATAAAAAGCAAATTATAATATTAAAAATTAACAAACCAAATTATATATTGAATTGGTAAAAATGACTACACAAACAAAAGAATTATTTCAAATGACATTAGACACAGTATTTTGATGGTATACCCTTAGGGGTACATGGTGTATATATGGTATAACCCTTAGGGGTTATAAGGACAAAATAAACTATGCAAAGTCTTAAACGTATTCACATTTATTTTATTAGTAGAATAGTATTTAGTAGAATAATATTTGAATTATTATTTGTAAATTATTGTGTGCATATTGTAGGATTAAACATGTAAGTGGTGTTAATGTTATTAGAAACCAAATTTTTCAGTGTAGTAAAGAGATACAAATATAAAATTAAGAGTTCAGTAAAAGTTACAGCTAAATTTTAACTAGAAATATCAGCATGAGAGTGTGTGTATCTTACTGTCCTAGCTCTGTGCACTGAAAGGACCTGGAGGCACCATCAATCACCTCAATAGCCATTATCACCCCTGAAACCCTTATTACGGTCTCTAAAAGCAGTTCTTACTAAAAGCTACCAAGTCTCTTTGGAGGAATGGCTGCTTCTATGACTAAGGCAAGGAATAAAAAAGATTAACCTGGTACGTACTGAAATGATAGAAAGCAAGGGAGCTTTTGGTAATTAATAGAGTATTTCAAAAAGAAACAAGAGCCAGTTTAAAGGAGCTTTCACTTACTTCAGGGTAATCTGAACATCAAAAGAATAATTACTGTGATTGCCCAATACACATTGAATATATAATAATCCATACTTTCATAGTAATGCTCAGAAAGTCATAAATAATTTTTTTAAAAAACTTATTTGCCATTCTTGGAGGTAACTATTACACTGACTCATTAATCTGTAACTTAATAGTTAAAGAGAAGAAATGAAGAATGTATGCTACCTTTCCAGTTGGAATTGTATTTCAAAGTAACTAAGCCCAGTTGGTGAGAGAGTGCTCTTCTTTATGAAATAATATCAGCTAACAAATGTTAAAGGAATGATAGAATTAGAAAAATCACCATTTTAGTCAAGGATCATCAATGAATGGCATACTGATATGTGAAAAGTTATTGGGGAACTAGATATTCTCAGAATGCTAAAATATCTTCCATGGATTACATACTTATGGTCACAAGAGGAAAACATCACTTTATGATAGACCCCTGGCTGTCTCTGTCTTAAACCAGTGATTAATTTCAGCATCACTAAATAGTGGGACAGCCAGACATTATGCACTTCCTGAAACCATGCAATTGGAGACATACGGTATCACCTGTAAAATTTTTGCTTTAAATTTTTTTACCTGATCCAATCAAGACTTTAAATATAACTTCCTTTTTTTTCAGGAAATACAGGGGATATACAGAATATATACAGTGGAAATACAGGCTATATACAGGGGAAATACAGGGAAACATATCACAAGCAAATAGTCAGACAAATTCAGAAGGTGGAGAGTTGTAAACAAAAACTGGCCTGGTCTCTTCTGCAAGAAGATGTCAAAAATGGAGGTGGGAGTTTAGGAGGGGAGGAGCACTCTTTAGGCTAATTTAAAGAGAATTAAGAAACATAACTAAATGCAATGGTGATCTTTGATTGACTCCTATTTTGAAAAAAACAGCTGAAAAGGGGGCACTTTGGGAAACAATTTGAGATCTCTGAATAGGAACTGAGCATTAAACGATATTCAGGAATTACTATAAATTTTGTTAGGTGTCAATGGCATTTTGGTTATGTGGGAAATATCCTTGTCTCTTGGAGATGCATATTGAAATATTTAGAAGGAAAATATAATGTCTATTATTTACTTTTAAATACTAAAAAGATGCAAATATGGCAAAACAATAACTGTTAAGTCTAAATGATGAGTGTATGAGGATTTACTAGGCACTACTATTTTCTTTTTCTTTTCCTTTTTTTTTTTTGGATTTTGGAAATTTTTTACTGAAAAGCAAGAGTAAAGTGATAAGTTTTGAACTTTAGAAATTCCATTCCCGAGTTTATTGGGTGACAAAAATGGAAGCAAAAGGCTAGTTGGTTGATTACTGCAATAGTCATCATGTAAGAGTACAGTGGTTTGCATAGGATAGCGAGTATGGAGAGAAGTGGACTGATGGGAGATAATATTTTGTAGGTAGAAACCATGAGGTTGTTGATAGACTCGAGGTGGAAGAAGGCGAAGGAAAGGAGAGTCGAGGCTAATCACATAGGCGAGTATGTATCAATTGTTTAGTATATACCAATGCAATGGTTGTTCTAAGTGAGCTTCATGAGTTTAACTCCCGTAATCTTCACAACCACCTTGTGAGGTAGGTAGTATTGGCACCTTCATTTTACACATCAGGAAATTTGGGCTCAGAGAGGTTAAGCAACTTGCCCAAAGTTATACACTTGGAAGGTGGCATTGCTGGAACTGTAATCCAAACACACAAACACGTAACCATTGCTGCTCTTTACAGGACATCGATTGCATTGAGATGCGAAATAGTACATATTCTATTCATTTTTAAGCTCTTCTCTTAAAATTTTTACTATCCGGCTCATTTCTTTCCTGGCCCCCACCCAACTGTCATCCTTTTCGCCAACCGTGCGCCTGAGTGATGGAGGTAGTAGTCCTTGGGGAGCAGCATACGTCAAGATAAGGTCAAGTGGGAATTCTAGTGAGGCGCCTACTGTTTGGTGTAGGAGGCTGGGGTGGGTAGGACCGCGGCTAAGACAGTGCTCTTACGCCACGTATGACGCAAATTAGCGCAAGTGCTGGGGGTGGAGGTGTCGTCACCACATACCCGGGGTTGGCGGAGCTGCTGCGAGAGGGGCGTGTAGACCCCGCCTCGGTGGGTGGGGAGTGGCAGGCCCCGCCTCGGCCCCTTTGGCAGGCTCCGGCCGGCGTCGCTGCGGCTCTGGCAGCGGAGCGAGAGCCCGGAGCCTGGAAAGATGCGGCGCCCGCGGCGGCCTGGAGGTCCCGGGGGATCTGGGGGTCTCCGGGTGCTCCTCTGCCTGCTGCTGCTGGGCAGCCGCCCGGGAGGCTGCAACGCCATTAGTGCCCACGGTCAGAAGGGAACGGGGGTTGGGGGGAGGGGAGGGGAGGGGAGGATGGTGCCGGGAGCAAAACTCAGTGGGGGATGTGGAGGGCAAGTGCCAGGAAGGTAGGAATCTTAGGTAGAATGTATGTGTGGAGTGGGGTAGGGGAGGCACTGAGAGATGAGGAAGACGAGAGGGCGTCTTAGAGGAAAGGGGCGTAGGCCTGGAGGTGGGGCTGGGAACACGGGGGCGGGACCTAAGAGAAGCGGGCTCAGGGGAAGATTGCGGTTATGGGAGAAGGAATGGGGGTGCATATGGACAGAGGGACCTATAGAGACAGGATACAATACCACGGGAGAAGCCAGTCGCTCCAAGGCGCCAAAAAGTGGCGATTGGCGCTGAAGGATGGAGGGGTGGAGGGAGGGAGAGGGAACCCTGATCTCTGGGCAGTAGAAGTAGGGGCCGTGAGCTTTGGGGTCCCAGCTTTCAGTAGAAGATCAGGCCGAGGGAGGATCCAGGGTTTCTCTTCAAGCCTAGAGAGGCCGATAGCTATAATCTGATCTCCGGATAAGAGGGGTACAGCTGGGGGAGGGGCAGAAGAGAGTGAAGAGGGAAGGGTCGTCTCCCGTCCCCCTCCCCACAGCCAGGCCTGGTGCTGACTCACATCTTAGAGGACAGAGACAGTCAGCGCTGACTCACGGGCAGGGGGAGGGTGGGAGCGGGGGGCGTGTGGGGGAAGGGGCGCAGCCTCGCCGTCTGGCGCTCTCCTTCCCCACCCGGCTTGGAGGCCAATACAAGGTACTTCCTGTGGCGCTGCGAGTTGGTAAGGTGGAAGATGAAGACTGGAATGGCGCAGAGGTCGGGTCCCTTGGCGACTCCTCACCCTGTCACCCTTCCCTCCCCCCATAACTGCTTCCAGGCAAGCCCTCAGCGGCACCAAGCTCAGAGCTTCAGCACCGCGAACAGCGCCAGCGGCATTGGGGCCACGGACCGCAGGGACAGTGTGGGGAGCACTGCCTTACCCCACCCTTACCCCTTTCCCCTAAAAGGGGAAGTGTGCTAAGGTTTCCATCTCTTCCGAGTCCCGGGCCATCATAAGATGCTTTTGGTGATTTGGGAAGGAAAGTCCCTTTTTTCTCAGAACTTGGCAAAAAGCTCTCCCACAGTAATTCTATGAGAGTAGAATATATGATTCTCTACTTTCACTACCCCCATGCACCTGGAGGGCTTCTTCTCCTCGTTACTTAGTTAAGCAACTGAAGATTTTAGGGGAAGAATCCAGACTTGCAAATCTTTAAAATCCAAAGCCAGGTCCTGTGCTTTCTTCTCTTAAGAATTCTAGGCCTCTTCTCACCTCTCCTCCCAGCTTAAAGTCTTCCTTAGAATGAAAGAATGAATCCCCTCTGCTTCCCCCTTTCCTAGCCTGTCCATCCATCTGACCATTCTGTGTGTGCGTGTGTGTGTGTCTGAGCCTATGCTCACCTGTCCTCCACAGGCTGTCTGTTTGACCGCAGGCTCTGCTCTCACCTGGAAGTCTGTATTCAGGGTAAGGCCCAGACACAGGATATACAAGATGGGGGGTGTGTGGTAGGGTACACAGTAAGAAAGAAGTGGGGAGTGGGAGGCCTGGAAGGGAGAAGGGGAATTGGGTTTGAGGAGAAAAGGGACTGGCCTGGAGGAGCAGAGCTCTCTGAAGCCAAGAGAAGAGTTAGACGGAGTGCTGTCTATTTGCAACATGGGCTTTGGAAGGCCTCTTGGAAGCCCCTTGTGACATGACTTTTTTGCTCTTAGATGGCTTGTTTGGACAGTGCCAGGTGGGAGTGGGGCAAGCCCGGCCCCTTCTGCAAGTCACTTCCCCAGTTCTTCAACGCTTACAAGGTGTGCTCCGACAGCTCATGTCCCAAGGTGAGGTCTAGGTGCACTGGAGGAGAGAGACTGAAACTTCATTAGATAAGGGTGGGGAAGTGAGGGGCCACCTGACTCAAAGGTTTCTCTCATGGAGCATTCCTATTACAGCCACTCTAGCGCCTCACCTTCCCAGGCCTTGCTGGAGGAGACAGGAGTGGGGGTGGAACCCTAGAGATAGGCTTTTCACATGTAGACTCTCTGGAGGAATCCAAAGGAGGTTTTTAGAAGAAGCCACTGGAACAGACCAGCATCCATCTCTTTAGGACCAGCCTAATCTCTAGAACTGACTGAGTGCTCCAGAAACATGAGTTCTGGAGTCCTCAGCCAGAACAGCCCACTCATCTAATTCACTCATTCAACCAGTATTTATTGGGTACTTCTGTGTGGCCAACATAGTTTTAGGTGCTTGGGATGTAGCAAGGAGTAAAACAGACAAAGATCTCTGCCTCCTGGGGTTTACATTCAGGGGTGAAGGGAGGGAATACATTATATAAATTAGAAAATATATAGTGTATTAAAAGGTAATAAGTATCATGGGAAAAAAAATACTATAGTAAGATAAAAGAATCATAAATAGTGAGGTAGGAAGCTGCAGGATTAAATTGAGTGGTCAAGATGGAACTTACTGAGACTATGAAATTTAAATAAAGACATCAAGGAGGTGAGGGTGTTTTCCAGAAGGTTATCTAGTGGAAGAGTGTTTAAGGTGGCCAGAGAGCTAGAACATGCTCCCTAAGGTAGGAGAATGACTTTGAGGAACACCATGGAGAACACCTTTACAGTGTGGCTGTAGAGGAGTGATGGAGAAGCAGAGTAGAAGATGCAGTCAGGTAGGTGAAGAAGAAGGATTTTCCTCTAGGATTTTATAAGAGAATGTGTGGACATTGGCATTACTCTGAGTAAAAGAGGAAGCCATCACAAGATTTGAGCATAGGGGTGCATGATCTCACTTCTACTTTAAAAGGATCACTCTTGCTGCTGTGTTAAGAACAGAGTGTAGGGAGTCAAGGGTAGAAACAGAACACTAAACATTAAAAGCTACCACAATAACTCATATAAGTGAAGAATAGGTGTGGATGAGGGTGGTTGCAGGGAGGTAATGAGAAATGACAGGATTCTGCCTATATTTTTAAGGTAGTGAGCATGATTTCATGAAATATTGGATAGAGCCATGAAAGAAAGGGAGGAATCAAGGATGACACTCAGGTTTTATTGCCTGAACAACTGAGTTGATGGACATGTCATTAACTCTGCTGAAGGATCAACTGGGGGTAAGGGTGTTCAGTTTTGAATGTTCTTAGTTTAAGATAGCCATTCAAATAGAATGGGAAGTTGAGTACATAATCTTGGGTTTAGAAAGAGAAAAGTCTGGAGTGGAGATATAAATTTGGAATTCTTTGATATATAGATGGTAATTAAAACCTTGAGATGGATGAAATAATCAAAGGATTGAATGTTTACGAAGAAGAGCCCTAGAGAATTCTAATATTAAGAGGATGAGGAGAAGGAGTATAACTATCAAGGGAGACTGAGAAGGAGAAGCCAGTGAGGTAGGAGGAAAAACAAGAGTGTTTGGTGTCCTGGAAGCCAAGAGAAAGTGTATCAAGGAGGAAGGAGTGACCAAACAGTGTCAAATGATGTGGTAGGTTAAATCAGATGAGATCTGAGAATTGACCACTGAATTTAGATATACGGAAGCCCCTGGTGATCTTGGTGAAAGCAGTTTTAGTAGAATAGTTGGAAATAAAATCCTGGGTAGGGTGGATTAAGAGAGAATGGGAGGAGAGGAATTGGATATAGCCAGTATAGGTAACACTTTCAAAGAGTCTTGCTGCAAAGAAAATCAAAGACAGGGTGATAGATGGAGGGGAATGTAGGATCAAGCAGAATTTTTATAAGATGGAAGACATTGCATCATGTTTGTGTGCTAATGGGAATAATTCAGTAGAGAACAGGAGAAAATGATGATGTAGGAAAAAGGGGAGGATTGGGGGGGAGATTTTTCTGAGTAGGTGGTACGGATGAAATCTAGTGCTCAAGTGGAGGAACTGGCCTTATACAGGAACACAGAGATTTCATCTAATGCTAATAGGCAAAAAGGCTGGTATGGATGCTAGTAGACCCCAGGGTATGAATTAAGAACAGTACAGATTATTAACCCAGAAGCAGAGGAAAAGGAATAGGGAAGTGGGTGTGGAGAGTGGGAGATTATTTCTTTAGAATAGGTGACTGACCTTTCCTGAGAGCAGAGTTGCATTGAGGGAAGCAGCCAAACAGATCTGCCTCAGCATAAGATGGTGGTGACGAATGTTTAAAACAAGTGTATAGTACTTTGGAGTTTTCCAAGCACTTCAATTTCCCTGATTGCATTTAATCTTTACTACAGATCCATAAAGTATGTATTATTCTTATTTTACATATAAAGAAAACAAAGGTTCAGGGCCCAAAAAAAGAAGAAGATGAATAATAATTATGATGATGATAATAATAGCAGTTATGGAAAGCACACTATGTATCAGGTACTATTCTAACTATTTAATGTTGTGTTATTTATCACAACAATCTTAGCAGGTTATAAACCACCATTTTTCAGATGAAAGAACTGAGGCTCAGACAGGTTCAGCCAAGGTCACACAATTAGTAAGTGGCAGAGGATTTAAACCAAGTCTCACTCCCAAATCTATACCTGAGGGTGGGAAAAGGACAGCTCAGATCACCCACTGAGTCTCCAAACTCCCTCCACTGCTCTTCTGCTCTGCCAAATTCAGTACACTGCAAGGTAGGGGGTGCAGTTTTTATCTGCACTGGTCCCTGTTACTGGGCTCTCAGACTGTCCCAAGCCAACCATCTTACCCTATCCTGCTCCCTGGCAGGACTGTCCTGGCACGATGACCTCACCCAGTATGTGATCTCCCAGGAGATGGAACGCATTCCCAGGCTTCGCCCCCCAGAGCCCCATCCAAGGGACAGGTATGCATCCTTTCTCATCATCTCTAGCATGACAAGGCTGCTGGGTCTGATGGACAGAGGGACGTGGGCACGAAGCAGGCTGGGGCATGGGTAAAAGAGGTTCTGGAGTGGTCATCTGACATGTTCACTTGCCCAACATAAGCTGAGTTCATCCCTGGGGACCCAGCTAAACAGGGACATTAAAAGATGTTTTGAAACATTTGGACATTTGGAATTTTAAAAGAAGCATCAAAGTAGTCATCATGAAACAAATTAGAATTTTGTTGGACCTAAGTTGTTTAATGTTCAGTTTGATTACTATGTGGAATTGTATATGGTAGGAGGTACCATCATCTTTTTGTGGTTAGGGTCTCTGAAGGCATCATTCAGACCCTGTAAAGCAGAGGAAAGTAAATGAGGGCTTGGGGCTCAAATGATAATACCAAATAAAGAAGGCACAGTGGGGCTGGGGGAGCAGAGTGAGGGGGCACAGTACTGAATGTCTGAACGTGTACTTGGAGACCCAGGTGCGGGGACATGCACACCGGGACAGTGAGGCAAGCTGCAGCCAGAGTTGGTCTAGAGAGGTTCCTGGCTGCCTTTCCCTGCTACTGTTCTCCCTTTCTCTGTCCCGTAGCCTCACGCTTCATCAGTTCCGCCACTGTGTTTCAGGGACCCAGGCATGCTTACCAGGGAGGCAATGACCTCTGCTCCAGGCTTGGCCCTCTGGCCTTCCCCATGATACTCCCTCCTTTCCTGAGGCTACCTCATCTCTTACGAAGTCAGGCTCACCCTAAGCTAAGCCTGCCTGGCCCCTTCTCTCTGTCTCGTAGGCTCTGCCCCACACAACCAACACACACACATACACAAACACACACACACACTTTGCTTTCCTCCCCAGATCTGGCTTGGTGCCCAGGAGACCTGGTCCCACTGGGGAGCTGCTTTTACAGGGCATCCCCACTGGCTCTGCTCCTGCTCCCCAGCACCGGCTTCCTCGACCTCCAGTAGGTGGGGGCGGAGCTGGGGCGGGCTCCTCCCTGTCCCCTCTGCAAGCTGAGCTGCTGCCCCCTCTCTTGGAGCATCTGCTGCTGCCCCCACAGCCCCCACACCCTGCCCTGAGTTATGAAACTGCCCTGCTGCAGCCCTACCTATTCCATCAGGTGAGCCCGAGACACTGGCCCCACCTCAACCCCCGTGTCCTCTGTCCCTGACATCCGCTCTTATCCCAGTCTCTTGTTTCCCACAGTTTGGCTCCCGCGATGGCTCCCGGGGCTCAGAGAGCTCCTCAGGGATGGTCAGTGTTGGCCCCCTGCCCAAGGCTGAACCCTCTGCCCTCTTCAGCAGAACTGCCTCCAAAGGCATGTTCGGGTCTCACCCTGGCCTCTCCTATGGGGACCCTCCAGGGCCTCCACCTGCTCAGCTTTTCCAGGAGTCAAGGCTACTATACCTGGCCCAGGAGCCACAAGTGCCCAGCAGGGCCAGGGCACCAAGGCTGCCAGAGCAAGGGGGCAGCAGCCAGGCGGAGGACTCCTCAGAGGGCTATGAGGAGGAAGGACTAGAGGGCCACAGGGAGAAGCCTCCTTCCCAAGCAGAGCAGCCAGGTAACAGAGTGCTCAGCATCCACTCCCTGCCTCTGGGGCTGCTTCCTGGGGGGTGCGAAGTGGGGGTCCTTCCTGACTATCCATGCATTTGTTAATTTGTCCTTAAAGTCATTCATGCATTTAACTAATGTCTGCTGACAACCTGAACTATGCCAGGCACTAGGTAGGCAGTGGGGATATGGTGAGGGGTGAAGCTGACATGACTCTTCTTCAGCTGGGGAATCAAGAAGTCCTTCCTGAGCCTGAAGCTTGGTCTTGGTGCCAGGAAATTCTTTCCTCCTAAGTATAGACAAGGATGGGAAGGGGAGGGCATCAGTGTCCTGGTGTTTGAGAAGAAACTCTCACATGTGCTGGCCCCCTAACTCCCAAATGCACCCCCAAGTTCATCTCCATACCAGGCCTAAGCTCTGTGTCTGGTTCCCAGCAGATGTGATTCTGCAGAGACTGGCAGCCGTGCTGGCGGGCTATGGGGTGGAGCTGCGTCAGCTGACCCCTGAGCAGCTCTCCACCCTCTCGACCTTGCTGCAGCTGCTGCCCAAGGGCGCAGGACGAAATCTGGGTGAGTGTCCAGGCAGAGTGACCAGCAATGACCAACCGCATGGAAGCCTCTAACCTCACTTCTCTAGAACAAAGGAAGCGGCCTAGAGGGGAAGGGCCAAGGCCAGGGGAGGGAGTTCTTTTGAGGCACAGAGTCATCCTTGTCCCAAGGGCAGGGAGCAGAGTTTGGGGTGATGAGCTGAGGAATTAGAGCAGGAAAGGACTGGAAGATGGAAGTAATAGAAAAAGAAGCCAACAGTGGGTATGAGCCAAGATCAGAAGCAGGGAGAAGGCTGGGTGGGAGATAATGAGGAGCTAAGGAGGGGTATGGCCAATGCAAAGGAGAAGCCAATAATTGATGGGAAGAGGGAGGACTGAACAAAGAATAGCTTTGAGAAGTGTGGCCAATAACAGAGGGAGGAATTGATAAAACAATGAATTATAAGGCAGAAGCACACAGGCATGAGGCTGCGCTTAGGATGAGACCAACGACAGGGTCTTGGTCACTGACTGTGAGGAAACAGGCCACAACTGATGTAACAGGCCTTTTCTCCCACCTGCACTGTGTGGACCTTGGCCTTGGCCCTTTGCCCAGAGTCTTGTTTTTCCTGTCTCTGCAGGAGGGGTTGTAAACGTTGGAGCTGACATCAAGAAAGTAAGTTTGTGGCACCTCCCTGACCCACACGTGCCCCACAGCAGCAAACCCCCTTGGCTGAAAGCTAAACCTCACGATCAGGACCCAGAATCTGTATCCTCCAAGCCCCCATTTTGGAGGGAACCATGGCCTAGCAGCTGCAAGGCGTTGTCTGAGGTCTCACCTCAAGTTGAAGGCAGAGCGGGGATGAGAAGCCAGAATTCTTGATTGACTGCTTTTTTTACGACAGTCAGTTTAGACCACGCTCTGAGGATCCCTAGGGGAAGGGGGAGTTGCAAGCAGGCAGGCTCCTGACGCCCTGCAGCTTGAGGCGCTCTGTTTCACGTGTTGGAATTCTAAGATTTTGTGGCTCAACAAAAGTCTGCAAACCATAGCTTGCCTGTTCATCTTCTATCCTCACCCCCACATTCCCTGCTCTGGAATTTCTCCTCACTCCATCCCCATCTTGTGGATGATTACTGATCATGAATAATCACTCATTCATTCATTCATTCATCCACTGGGCTCACTTTCCTGGATGCCCTCTGTACCCAACACTGACCTGGGCCTAGGGATAGGAAGAGGAAAAAGTCCTAAGTGCCACGGTGGGAGACAACGGTCCAGGGTGTGGACCCCCCTCCCCTAAGCCCCTCCACTGTCCAGAACCACACCTCTATCCTCTCTTCTAAACAGACAATGGAGGAGCAGGTGCAGGGTGTAGACGCAGTGGAGCCTCCGCCCCCCACCCCTTCCCTGCCTGGATCCCCCACTGCCGGCCCCACCTCCAATAAAGCCCAGCAGGAACTGAGCTCTGGATCCTCTGAGCCTCCAAAAGCTGCCGACCCCCCTGCCACACATGTCCTACTGGAGAAGAAAAGTCCACTGGGCCAGAGCCAGCCCACAGCAGCAGGGCAGCCCTCCACTCAGCCATCAGCAGAGGAATACGGCTACATTGTCACTGACCAGAAGTAAGGGCTCCAGCCTGGGGCAACCTCCCCAGTCCCTTGGGGGTTGGGCTGGCCTTTCTGGCTGGAAGCAGAGGGCAGAAGTCCAGAGATGTGAACCAACAGGAGGTGGGGTGGGCTGCTCTGCAACCTTGGAGGTGGCTCTGCACTCCTGGAGGTTGTTTCAAGAAAGTGGCCAAGAGGGTCGTCACTTTTCTTCATCTCCCTGCTCCCCACCTCCAGGCCCCTGAGTCTGGCTGCAGGAGTAAAGCTGCTGGAGATCCTGGCTGAGCATGTGCACATGTCCTCGGGGAGCTTTATCAACATCAGGTGGGGCTGGTGGGCTGGGGCAGCAGGGATCTAGAAGGTCGCTTGAAGAGGGAGATGGCTGTAGGGGCTCAGAGTAGGAGGGGAAGACAAGTCCCAGGTTGGGTCAAAGATGTTTCCAGCTTCATTGAAGGTACAACCATACCTACCCCTGCTGTTGGCTCAATCCAATAGCTCTCCAGCCTCAAGCATCCCTGTATGGCATCTCTGATTGGTTTCAGCCCCGGTCTCTAATGGGGAGAGGGCCAGAGCAGACCCTCTGAATTTGGGGTCTGTGGTGGGTCAGGTGGTAACATACCTCCTGTTCGGCAGTGTTGTGGGACCAGCCCTTACCTTCCGCATCCGGCACAATGAACAGAACCTGTCTTTGGCTGATGTGACCCAGCAAGCTGGTAAATACTTCCTGGCCCCAGCCCTAGTAGGACATACCCAGGCCTGTGGCTGATGCTCCCCTTGAAATATTCCCAGCCCACATGGGCCCTCCCTGCCACCTGGTGTAGCATGACATGTGGTGGAGACCACATGTGGCTGGAGAGAATCTTACCTCTGTCTTCCTTGCAGGGCTGGTGAAGTCTGAACTGGAAGCACAGACAGGGCTCCAGATCTTGCAGACAGGAGTGGGACAGGTATGTGCTAACTGGAGAATCATTCAGAGCCCCAGAGGGCTGACATTGCCTACAAGAGATGAAGGCAAACTTAACAGGAGAACAGGAGCTGAAATACATATGGCTTTGCCAAAGCTGCCCTCCCCCATGCAGTTTTCTTTCTGACCAGCAGATGGCCTCAGGGGTTCCTGCAGAACCAGCCCTTGCTTGGAAGAACTGTCCAAGATGGCCGGCCATGGGGCTCCGCAGATGTTCTAGAGCCAAGTCTCAAATTCCAAGGGAAAACCTAACACAGGAAGGGCATTAAACTCAAAATATGTTTCTATTCTGCATCCAACACTGATGCTTCACATTCTACTATTTGATCCTTTGGGTCTCTTTGTACTTCTCTACATCCATTTTTTAAATACAAAAACTCCTAGGGAGGGTGACCCACTAAGTCTCTGGCAGTGCAGTGTGGTTGAGGTGGTCCAGTGAGGACTGAGAAGCAGGATCTTGGATCTGTCTGAGTCCTTCTGCCTGTACGACCATGGCCATGCCCTCCCAGCTTTGCCCCAGGAGATGTCCTAGCAGGGAGTGTGATGTGGAACAGGGGTAAGGCGCAGCTCCTAAGTCTCTCCCTGCCACTACCCCCCCCTTGATTCTAGCCTTGTTCCCACAGAGGGAGGAGGCGGCCGCTGTCCTTCCTCGACCAGCCCACAGCACCTCTCCCATGCGCTCTGTGCTGCTTACTCTGGTGGCCCTGGCAGGTGTGGCCGGGCTGCTTGTGGCTCTGGCAGTGGCCCTGTGTATGCGGCAGCATGCGCGGCAGCGGGACAAGGAGCGCCTGGCTGCTCTGGGACCCGAGGGGGCCCATGGTGACACAACTTTTGAGTACCAGGTATGAAGCCCCAGAAGCTTGTTGGTAAGAGGGAATGGAAGGGGCCTGGGAATCTGGGTCTCACGTGGGATGAGGTTTGGGAGTTGGAAAGGAGTGAGCACCCATCCCTGGGAATGTCCAGGTAGAGGCTGGAGAAGCCATGGTGAGGGTTGTGGGGGCATTTGGAATAGATGGAGTTGGAAGCAGATATTTCTTCCCAGTGCTACAGTTCTGGGGTCTAGGATTCTACTCTGTAATATCTGAGGTTGATGTAGGCACCACCCAAGCAGAACAGCCCCCAAAAGGATGAGAGCCAGGGCAGAAGACCCTACCTCAGATGAGATATGTTTCATTCAAAATCAATCAAGGACAAGCCTAGGGACTCTGTTGAATTAAGCCCAGGACTCTTATTGAAAAGTCTTCAGGGGACCTTGGACCCTGCCTGATTCTTCCTCTGCAGGACCTGTGCCGCCAGCATATGGCCACAAAGTCCTTATTCAGCCGAGCAGAGGGTCCACCGGAGCCTTCTCGGGTGAGCAGCGTGTCCTCGCAGTTCAGCGATGCGGCTCAGGCTAGCCCCAGCTCCCACAGCAGCACACCGTCCTGGTGTGAGGAGCCTGCCCAGGCAAACATGGACATCTCCACAGGACACATGATTCTGGTCAGGACAGGGTGTGGGTCCAGAGAGGGTGAGAGAACAGGATGGTGGGAGGGGCCGGGCTGGCAGTAGGGGCCAGAGCCAGGCTGCGGTGCCCCTGCAGGCATACATGGAGGACCACCTGCGCAACCGGGACCGCTTGGCCAAGGAGTGGCAGGCCCTGTGTGCCTACCAGGCGGAGCCCAACACCTGTGCTACCGCCCAGGGGGAGGGCAACATCAAAAAGAACCGCCACCCTGACTTCCTGCCCTGTGAGTGAGTCCTTCTGGCCCACCTGGCCCAGCCCTGGAGGGCTTGGGGGAGGGGCTGGGCTCCTGGCTCAGGCTGAGCAGCAGAGGTGCCAGGACTCCAATGACTGGAGGGGCCTCTGGGATGGGATATGGGGTCTGTGCAGATGACCACGCGCGCATCAAGCTGAAGGTGGAAAGCAGCCCTTCTCGGAGTGACTACATCAATGCTAGCCCCATTGTGAGTGCCCCCCCCCAGCCTCTTCCCCATTTTCATCCTGCCCCCATAGACTCCATTTCCTGGTGGTGACGACCACCCTACCTGAGGCCCTGAAACTGTGGGTCTGATATCCTAGCATGGAAACAGGGGCTCTCAGGCTACCCCAGACCCTGGCCCACTCCCTTTGACCAAGCCTCCCCATAGCAGCATTTCCCATTCTGGCTCATGATGTGTCTTTCCTGCCCCTAGATTGAGCACGACCCACGGATGCCAGCCTACATAGCCACACAGGGCCCGCTGTCACATACCATCGCAGACTTCTGGCAGGTGGGCTTCTGGAGGAGGCCTTCTCCAGGGACCAGGGTTTCTTCTAGATAGCCAGGAACAGCCAGGTCCTGAGAAGGTTAAAATGGAGCTTACCTGGGTCTCTGTCCCTAGATGGTGTGGGAGAGTGGCTGCACTGTCATCGTCATGCTGACCCCGCTGGTGGAGGATGGTGTCAAGCAGTGTGACCGCTATTGGCCAGATGAAGGCTCCTCTCTCTACCATGTGTATGAGGTCAGCAAGACCCCACAGCCAGGAGACAATGGGAGTGGGAAAGGTGGATGGTGCACCACTCATACATGTGTGAATATATGTGTATATAAACATGCATGTGAGCCCACATGTATATTCACATACATGCATGCATATATATGTGTGTGTGCCCAGTCGGGCCAAAAAGCATTTGTAGGGACCTAATCTATGACGAAAGATTCATTTGTGAAACTATAAAACCATCGAAACTGAGGTAAGAAGCCAAGAGTCAAGAATACAGTAGATGAGACTGGGAAGATAAGGATACTCAAAGACCAAGATTGAGCCCTACTTTTATTGAGCCTAACTGAGACCTGAGTTTCCTGGAGGCCAAAGCAAAGAAAGAAATGCCATCAGTCACATATGTTGCTTATGTAAAAGAAACAAACTGTTTCATTAGGAGAGAAGATAGGTAGGGGAGAACTGCGCAGAGGCAAAGCAGGGGAAGGAACAACATTCCTGACAAATGAGAGGTGACCCCCACTATAAAACAAGAGACAAGAGCACAACAGAAGCTTCTCATCACCAGATGAGCACTGGATGGCAGTTTTTCACCATCAGATGAGCACTCAACAGTCTTTTTTTTTTGAAGTTTTAAAAATTGGTCTTGCTTGTGGTTAAAGGAATCAAATAAATTACAGAATTTTATCAAAGTTTATGGTATGTGTAGCACAGACACTTTGCTAGACTCTGTGCAGAAGAGGAAGGAGAAACTCCAACTTCAAGAAGCAAGCAAGCAAGCAAGCAAGAAAGAAAGAAAGAAGGAGGCTTACAATAGTTGTATCTAGATGGAAAAGCCACCAATTGTCCTGAGCAGTCGACACAGACAGCTAGGGTTCTTGGGGACAGCTGGGAGAGTGGGGCAGGCTGTTGGGTAAGCTTCCTGGAGGACTGAGAATTTGACTGGCCCGGGAGGCTGGGAGGATTTGGAGAAGCGGAGGAGCGTGCACTCAGACGCAGAGGCCCGGCCGCGCTCAGGCCCGCGCCCCCTGTTTCGCAGGTAAACTTGGTGTCAGAGCACATCTGGTGCGAGGACTTCCTGGTGCGGAGCTTCTACCTGAAGAACGTGCAGACCCAGGAGACGCGCACGCTCACGCAGTTCCACTTCCTCAGCTGGCCGGCAGAGGGCACCCCGGCCTCCACCCGGCCCCTCCTGGACTTCCGCAGGTGAGCACCCCGGGCGCCTGCAAGGAGCTGGAGGGCAACGGCCTGGCGCCTCCTGGGCGGTGGGCGGCCCCAAAGGAGGCTCGAGGAGCCAGGGAGAGAGCAGCACAGGAGTAGAGGGCCGGGAGCTGGGCTGTGCCACGATCCCTCAGCCCATCATCTCCTGGGGCCCCGAGTCATGTGGCGGGCCCTTTACCCTGTCCTGAAGCCTTGGCCTCTGATCATCCAGTGCCCCTTCCAGACGCCCCCAAACCAGGACTGGCTCTGACCTCCTAGCGGAACCTTCCAGATACCGCTGCCCACCCAAACCAGGACTGACACTCTGTCTTGCTGTGCCCATCTCTCTGCCAATGTGGTCCAGCTCCATTTCTGCTCTGTCTCTGCTGGCCTGCTGTCTCCTTCCTCTCTCTTGCCCTCTTTTTCTCCCTGCCTCTCCAGGTCCAGCTTTCTTCATAACCTTCTTCCCTCCAAGAAGCGCTCACTTGATTTCTAGCTCCCTCCCTCACTCCTTCTCTCCTGCTACTTGGCCCCTCCTGTCTGTTTCCTCCTGTCTTGTGCTCCCAGGCCTCCAGCAGTCTCTGTGTCTGCTGTCCCCTCACCATCTCTCACTCCCTCCTGTCATCTCCCCTTCTTTAGCCCTCTCTCTTTGCCTCTTTTTTTTATTTCTCTCCTTCTGTCTTTCCTTCTTTTTCCCTCCCTGCCCTCTTCTCTCTGCCCCACCCTCCCTCTCCCCCTCACCTCTTTCTCTATCACTCATCTCACTCTTCCCCTCCATCCACATCTCCCCTTCTCTGCACCTCTCCCTGTTCCAGCTCCTACTTCCTTTTTCTCCACCTCCCTCCCATCTCTGCCTGTTTCCTTCTGCTTCTCCTTGTCTCTGTCTCCCACTCTGTCTCTCTGCATGTCTCTGTCTCCCCCTCCCTCTGTCTCCCTTCTCTGTCCCCTCCTTCCTCTCTCTCTCTCTCACAGCTGCCAGTGTCATTTTTGTGATCTGCAGCTAGTATTCTCACTCCAGTTGCATAGTCACAAAAGTGATCATTGGCAGGTGTGGCCGCTGCATGGACGGGACAATGAGGACGTGTGGGCCCAGGGACCACCCTCAAGGCTGCTGGGATTGCTGGGAGCTGGGGGGACTCAGGGAAGGGACAAATACTATCAAAGGGAGTGTGGGAGGTTCTCTGGTTTCTTGGGGACTCAGTGGAACTAGGTGGGGGCTGAGACAGGAAGCTAACTAAGGGACGTACCTTATCCTAACGCTGAAACAGGACCAGGCCAGGCCTCTGGCATCAGGCCTCTGGCATCTCTGCCTTCCCCCTCCCCAGACAGGTGGCTGAGAAGCCTGCTGCCACAAGCCGGGGCCTCCCCCACACTGTGGCCTTCTGCTGCTTCTCTGCTCCTTGCCAAGCTGGCCTGAGGTCTCTAGGCGCTGGGGAGAGAGCAGAGAAGCAGAGCTGGGGGGTACCTGGGGACAGTTTCTGAGCCTCAGGACAATGGTATCAAACAGGGGTCCCTGGGGCCTGAGGCACAGGCTTCTCAAAAGTAACACCAGGGGTATCATAGCTATTTTCTGTTTTCCACATTAAAAAAATCCTTATAGAAGTAGTGCATGGACCTGTTTTCAGGCTGCACAGGTAAGCGAAAAGTTATATTTCTTTGCTTTAGGCTGAAATTATGTAAACTCAGTTGACATTAGACACCCAGAAAAATTAATTGCTGCTTAATAAATACAGTTTGGTGAAGGTCCACTTAAGAGAAGGCAAAATAACATTTTATGTCCTAAAAAGTGACTCCGAGCAAGTTCCTTGACCTCCATCTGTTTCCTTACCTGTGAAATGAGGATGATGACCCAGACTTTAGGGGGTTGTTACAAAAGCCAATAGGATAAAGTCTATAAAATCTAGTTTAAGCACATAGCAAGGGCTCTATTAATTCTAAATACTGTTTATTATTATTATTATTAAATGATTGGGAACTACTGTGTGACTTCTATTCAACTCCAGCCCTGATATACTAGCCAATGTGCTAGAAAAATCACGTGGTCTGTAAAACCATTCAGAGTCACCTGGCCCCTGCAGGTCTGGGGGAGCCAGACCGGAGGACCACCAAGTTACAAGTTTCCCCTGAAACACTCTAATAACACCTAAGATGGTCCTCCCTCATCCTTGCCTACTGCAGGGTATCAGGATTCTGCAAGTGCCTCTCAAAGCAGGAACATCATAAGGCACAAAGGGCAGATTAGACTGGGTCACTGAGATGGGGAGAAACCCCCTGCTCCTTGCTGATCTGTGGTCAGGGTAGCAGAGTCTGAGGTCCAGGTGGACCCCAAGTCTGAGTATGACCCAACCACAGAGCACCTGTGCTGAGGTAAGACTTACCCAGGGAGACAGCAGCAGTATAATATTCAAAGCTGAGGGGTTGTCCTTCCTTGGCCAGAGGAAAGTTGTGCTGGGGCTGCCTGACTTCACTGCTGGTGAGGACCACAAGGAGCCTGAGTGGCAAGAGGAATGGCTTGAGCAGCTGTAGGGGCAGAGCATGGATGTGGCAAGACTGACACCCTTGAAGTCACCAGAAAGCCTATCCTCCCTGGACTTTTGGCAGAGGTGGCTGTTAATATTATTATGTGTTCTTAATAGTACTACTGTTAATGAGCATCTACTGTATGCCAGATCTTTCACAAGTTCTTTAAATGGATTATCTCATGGAATCACAGTAAGAACCCTAAGAAGGAGATTACTATTCTTATCATCCCCATTTTGCAGGTAGGAAAACTGAGGCTCAAAGAGGTTAAATCATTTGTTCCAGGTGCACATAGCTCATAAGTGACAAGGCCAGCCCAGTGCCACCCCTACCATCTCTGGTTCTTTGCCTCCAGCCCTGACTCCTCTCTCCAGCCCTCTTCCTTCCTCTGCCCTGGGCATGTGGGGAGAAAAGGAAGAAAGAAAGGCCCACAGGTGTGGGTTTCAGTTCCCCTTTCCCTCTCCTGGTGATCCCTGGCCTCATACCCATTTCTTGTTGCAGGAAAGTGAACAAGTGCTACCGGGGCCGCTCCTGCCCCATCATTGTGCACTGCAGGTGCGTGCAGAGGGGCTGGGGGCTGGGGTGGGGATGGAGGTGACAGCACAGCTCAGGCCAGGGGGGCCTGAGGTGGGGCATTCCTGCTACCCGCCCGCTTTCTGGTCCTACTGCCTGTGCGCATCTCCCATGCACACTGCCTGCCTGTCGCCTTGATGCCAGCAAACTACAGCCCATGGGCCAAATTCAGCACGCCATGTGGTTTTTGTTTTTCTAATGGTCCATGAGCTAAGAATGATGTTTACATTTTTAAATAGTTGAAGAAAAAGCAACGTGTGACAGAGACTATATGTGAAAATATTTCCCATCTTGCCATTTACATAAAAAGTTTGCTGAATAAAAGCCTGGCCAGAGGTTGGAAAAAGCTATTCCTATTCTCTCCTGCTGCCTCCCCCTCTGGGTGGACCCAGGGCTCTCCTTTACGGTTGGCCACTGCCCAAGAGACACCCCATGGGTCACAGGCTCCCCACTTGAGGCCCAATTCCCAGGACCCAGGAGTTATGATGGTTCCTTCATCCTCGACTCACTCATGCCCCACCCCTAGGCTAACCCTAAAAGCTCTGCCAGTGTCCCCCCAACCCCAAGCCTCCATGTCTCCTCCACCCCCCCTCCTTTCTGCTGGGTCCCAAGCTCAGCCTGTCCCCGTCTGTTTCAGTGATGGTGCGGGGAGGACTGGCACCTACATCCTCATTGACATGGTACTGAACCGCATGGCGAAAGGTGAGGAACGACCCCACTGTGCCTGGAGCCCAGCCCCCGATTAAAGTCTCCCCAGCCCTCAGGGTCACAAGAGTTCATGGAGGGCAGGTTGTCACACCGCCAGGTGTTGTCCAATCCTCCAAGCCCCCCACCCCAGGATCCCCAAGGCTTTCTGGGTTCTACCCTCCTCTGGACACCCTTTGAGCAGCCCCGTGCCCCGCCCCCCACCCCAGGAGTAAAGGAGATTGACATTGCTGCCACCCTGGAGCACGTCCGCGACCAACGGCCTGGCCTTGTCCGTTCTAAGGTGACTGTTCCTCCCTGTCCCCACCCCAGCCACCACACTTCCCCAGGGAACCCAGCAGCAGCCTGCCTCTCCTGCCTGCCTCCATACCTCCCCCAGCAGGGCTCCCACCTCCTGCAAGTGGCCTCCCAAATGCCTCCCTGGGGCAGGAGCAGAGGCCAGGCCTCCCTGTGACCCTCTTCCCCCTGCCCCTCCCCAGGACCAGTTTGAATTTGCTCTGACAGCTGTGGCGGAGGAGGTGAATGCCATCCTCAAGGCCCTGCCCCAGTGAGACCCCTGGAGCCCCTTACTGGGCAGCCAGCCTCTGCCCCCTCTTTGCCTGTGTGAGCATCTGTCTATGTACTCACTCCTCCCCCTACCCCTCACCTCGGTCCCTCTTGGGCATGTCCAGTCCTTCCAAGAGGAGTGTATAAGGAAGGGGAAGCAGGACGGGGAGACTTGCCCGGCTTCTGGCATGGGGGAGCTGGCAGCCGGCCAGGAGGAGAGGAAAGTCATGGGCAGCAATTCCACCCAGAACCTCCTCCTGCCTGAGTTCCCTGGCCCCCATTTCCCGCCACTCTGGAAGCTCTGAATATGTCTGTGGACAGCCCCCATCCTCCAGTGTGGATGGAACGGGGCAGGGGGGCTCTATGCCCCGCTCTTCCTGCTTTCCCAGCCCCTGCTGTCCTGCCTCCCCAACCCACACTCTGGCCCCTACCCTTCCTGTCCCTTCCTCCCCACCCCGCCCTTCCACCACATGCCACTCAACTCTCCCCCTCTGGCACAAGAGAACATTTCTAGAAAAATCTACTTTTGTATCAATGTGAATAAAGTTAGTGTGTCGTGTGTGCAGCTGCAACTCAGACTCCTACGCAGTTCTGTCTGCTCTGCTTCCAGACTCCAGCCCTGGGCTCAGTCCGGAGCCGGGCCCTGCTGCGTTTCTCAGGAGATGCAGAGAGGGTGATGGGAGAGCCAGGCTGCGGACTCAGGCTCTCCAAGGTTAGAATGGTAGCTAATAACAATTAGGCAGTAGCTTTTTATGCTGTGCTCCCTGTGTGTCTGGCAGTCTCCAGGGTGTTCTACAGACATGAACTTGTTTAATTTTCATGACGATGCTACCAGTTAGTTATTAACTCCATTTTACAGACTGCAGCACAGAACTTGCCTGAGATACCACCAGTACGACTAGTAAGTGTTGGAGTTAGGATTCGAACTCAGGTATGCTTAACCTCTTGACCACCCTGCCTGTCAGTTCTTTCGTAGCTGCTTTGTGTCCTTGGGCCTTAGGAACGTGGTGCAGGACTGAGGTTAAGAGTGAAGGAGGTGATGCAGGCAAAGTGCCTGCCACATCGTAAGCAAAAGTAGCTAAACTCTGATAAAGACTCACAGACCAAGCCTGTGAGATGTCACTACAGTCATTCACCTGGGGGCAAGGGGCACTTTCTTCCTTTCTCTCCCATCCCCCAGAACTCTCCACCCTGTGTGGCCCTAAAGGAGCTCTCATCTTTGAGGCAGGAGTTATCCTTGGACAAAGGTGGTAGATGGAGAAATGAGGCAGAAGGAGTCTTAGGCCTGGAGCTACTTGGGGGTTAGGACCACTTAACCTTGCCAAGGCTCAGTCCCCTCATGAAAAATGGGCAAGTACCACCTGTCCTGCGCGGGGAGCTAAAGGACCAGTGAGCAGGCTTCAGGCCTCCAAGCCTCACCTGTGCTCTGCAGATGCTCAGCACCAATGCTGTCATCTCAGAGGCCAGAAGTGGGCAGAACAGCCATTTTACAAACTCCCAGCAGATTCTCTCAAGATAGAGGCTGGAAATTTCTCTTTCAGGGCATGCTGCTTCGAGAAAAATACAATATTAGGTCCTTTGGCGGTTCTGAAGGCCAGTGCCAGATTGCAAGAGAGAGTCGGCAGGGAGCCACCTGCCCTGCTCGACCATGGAAACATACCTGTCCATGGCTGGGAGGCCATCTCTGCGGGGGTCTGGAGAGAGAAGATGGGGAGGTACCTGGCTGCCTCTCCCTGGGCCTTGATGAGTTTGGAGCCTGGACCCTGTGTAGGGCAGACAGGTATGACTCCATGTGGGAGAGGCAGGCCTCTGACACTGGACACTGGCCTTAAGTGAAGGAAACTTGTGAAAGGGCTGAGTCTTCAGGCCTTGGGAGGTTTTTATAGGTTTTCACTACGTGTTCCCAGCTTTTTGTTGTCCCGATGCTTTCAGTCAAGTCGTAACTCAGCCTGGTCCAAGCTGTGCTGCAGAGTACTGGGTGGTGGGTCCCTGCATAAGGGGAACAACAGCCGCCTGAAGAAAGCCAGCTGTGGGGCCCAGGAGGTGAGGGCAAAAGAACATGAGCATTTTGAGGGACATACTGAGGGAGGACTGCTTGGTCTGCCGTCAGCTGGGAAGGCTTGCAACCTTTGGATGTCTGGGCAGTAAAGGGAGGTGTGTCACCCACTGGTCCCATGGGGTCCCTCCCGGACCACCCTGGAAAGGAAGAACACAGGAACATGGCACACCACCCAGCTTTCAAAATTCAGCTTTATTGACTTCCAGTGTTTCCCTCTTGGTCTGAGCTCAGCCCAGCTGGCTTTGAGAGGTCTCTGGGACTCAACGACACTGAGGCTGGCAACACCCTGGCTCCACCACTCCCCTCCCTGGCCACCAGGCTCCCCACACAGGGAGGAGGAGAGGCAGCTTCTGTGGTGTTGGAGAGAAAGAATAGGCAGCAGGGTCAGAGGCCAAAGAAGCCATACAAGCAGCAACATGCCTGGAGCACCCATCACACGCTAGTTCCAGCCACACACGTGCGTGCACGTGCGTATACACACACACACACACACACACACACACACACACACACACAGACAAACACT